CCTCCCCGCCCGGCGGCTCCCCCTCCCCGGGCTCCCCCCCAGCGCGCCGGGAGTTTGAGCTGACGGCTTGGAAACCCCACCCCTGCCGTAGCCTGAGCACCGGGGGATGTGACAGTAGGTTTGGTGACTTGGGGGTTTCTTTTTTCTTTTCTTTTTTTTGAAAGAGGCCCAACCCACCTATCATTGAATGCTAATTTTTGTGGTCCTTAATAAGCAGTTTAGAGTCCAGTCATGCGGAGAGCTGCAAAAGTGTAAATGTTGAGATGATAACTAGTTTGTATTTCAAGGGGGATTCTGCACCGGGGGATGTGACAGTAGGTTTGGTGACTTGGGGGTTTCTTTTTTCTTTTCTTTTTTTTGAAAGAGGCCCAACCCACCTATCATTGAATGCTAATTTTTGTGGTCCTTAATAAGCAGTTTAGAGTCCAGTCATGCGGAGAGCTGCAAAAGTGTAAATGTTGAGATGATAACTAGTTTGTATTTCAAGGGGGATTCTGTTTCACGCAGTTGGCAGAGTGCTGAGGTAGTCGGATCTTGCCAAACAACACTAAGCAATGCGACTGTTGATGAAATATTGACTAAATTGTGGAATTAATCCTGAAAAAATACCCTTTTAGTACAAGTAAACACACACAAAAAAAATCATGATTGAGATTGCACTTAACTTGTACACCTCAAGTAAAAATCACAAATGAGGCTTCTTGAGGGAGTTATGTTAAAACATGATAATGCCTCAGGCCCCCCTTTTTATATTTGCAGCCTAGAAAATTACATGCAACAAAACCTAACTTCTGGAAAGGGTACTTAATAGCTTTTGTTGCAGCAACTGGACACTAATATGTTGCAAAGATTCAGCAAGTATTTTGTTCAGAATAGGGCTTTGAAACACAATAGCAAGCCAGATTTTTCTGGAAGGCCCTGCATCTTTCTAAATAGCAGCCATACTAAACTTCTGGAAACTGTATGCCCAAGTTCAACTGACTAAAGTCACAGAGGACTTGATGTGCTTCTAGCATGTCCTGGACTACTTGAAAGATCTTAGAACGAAGTTCTGCAGTTAATGACTGGATATACATGGCCATATCAAGTCTATGGGAGACCGGTGTTGAAAATCAGCATTTGTAACTCAGCTCAAAGTAAAGCTACTGTTTAGAAAAATAAGAGATACCAATGTTCTGTTACAAAGAAGGAGGGAGTCTTCCTGACCGCTCAAGGTTGGTCTCTGGCTGCTCCTCTACTGTGGCAAAATAACATCTGTTGGAGGAGGTGGAGAGCCTAATAACGATCTAGAGGATTAGCTACAGTGTGTATTATGTGGTTTTCCTGCTCCTGCCTCCTTACAGAAGGAGCTTCAGATATGGATGGGGCTTGGAAGAGGGAAAAAAGCTTTGTAGGAGGTTGCAGGGAAGATTGGGACCCTGGCTGATGAAGAGAGAGGATACCATGAGGGGAAGGAAGAAAGGCAGTATCAGGGACACCTGCAGTACTGACATAAGAGCACAGAGAAGGGGAAGTGGAACACCTTGAAATACAACCACTTGCCCCAAAGAGCCATGTGGCTTTGCTTCTGGCCAACGTCTTCGTAAGTTTTCCTTCACTTGCCTCTCAAAATTGTAGTTGAAGACTCCCATTTATGGAATTAGGGTTCCAAGGTTGTGTGGTGGAACAGGAAATAGAAATGGATATTTCTTTGAGGCTGGGACACAGTAGATGAGCATTTTGGGAGAGAATTCAAGCAGAAAACTGTCAGAGTTTAAGTTTCTGAAAGGCAGATGTTGGCCAGAATGAATAAGAGAAAAGGAGAAAAAGCTAGGAATAGAAGAGTATCCTCTTGAAAAACTTTTTAAGGGTTAAATTGGAACCTTCTTGATGTTGAATTTTCCCAAGACTTTCCATCAAGTTCTGTCTAGGTGAGCAAAGACAAGTATTTACAATTACAATTAACTTTGAAACAAAAGCTCCTAAATTTCTATAAGCCACGTATAAAAAAGAAATTCCCTTGCAACTGAAATACATGAAACTAAATTTAGACCAGCTGTTGGTTACTCTAGCCATCTTTGTGCTCTCCAATTTGTGGAATTTATAATTTCTAATTCATACTTAAAATCAGCAATTGAAAGACTATTTTTATAGCGCAAAGTGAATTTCAATTATATACGTAAAGAGTTCTGTAAATTCCTGTTAAGAAGATATCTCAAAATCTTATCTAAACCTGGTAGGTATTATTTTAATGTTAATTTTAAACTTACAGTAGTTAATTTGTGTATTTGAATGCACTGGAAGTGAAAGAAAGCCATGTCACATACTAGAAAAGTAGTGCTCCTTTCTAAGTGCTGTCACTTCTTTAGACGACAAAAAGATACTTGTCTATGTGAACTGTTACTACTTCCTGCAGCTTAACATGGCAGTGGTACTTCTATTATGCAGTGAGTTATTAATGAAAAACTTAGGGTGGAAAGAGGGCACAGGGTTTAACAGCGGTGGTAACAGCAACTTAACAAGTGTTGTGGTGGATTTTCTTTCACGGGCAATTTTAAAACCATGGTTGGAAGTTAACTTTCCTAATAGGCATTCTCTATTTCAAACAAAAAATAATTCAGGAAAGATTGTATTTTAAGAGCTCAGATGAGATGGATCACAGTAGTGTCTTCGATTTTTTTTATTCTACACGTTTAACTCCTAAAAATGACAGAGCAACAGATATGTTCAGAAATATGTTTTCTATGATGAAAAGCAGGTAAGTATTTGAAAAAGATTTTCATAGTAGAAGAATGAATACAAAAATTCACAGAGATTCTGTACTTCACTAAAAGTCTCATTCCCTACGTAAAAGCGCAAGCCCGAAGCCAGTTTCACCAACAAATTTATATACATTCTTATGTACGTCATCACTTCTTGACTTGAAAGGAGTCCAATGTGAATCAGCATACATCATATTTTATTAAATAAAATATTCTATTATACTTCCTTATTCTGTGTGTTTATATATAACATGGCTCAATTAAGAGGTGGTGAGTGGGAAGAAATATGAATTCATGTTTTACAGATTACCCACCCGCAAATGTACTTTAAAACTGTAATTAGGAGTAGGTAATTTTTAAAGTTTTGAAACCTGTCGTATAAATCATGACTTGCCATTTTCTCCTTCCGGTGGGAAGATTACTTTCTATCTTCTGAAGTTACAAAGCAATAAAGTTTTCCTCCTGGGTGATTTTTACGGAGACACCCAGTTTAATGCTATACAGTTAGAAAAATGTATACTAAAACTTGTTTCATAGTCAGGAGTAGTTGCAGAATCCTATGTCTAACTTTCTATTCTCTTACAAAAACTGTGGAGATAGTGATATGAAGTCCAGGATCAGGGCAAGTAAGTGAAGGAAGTATGGAATCTTCTCTAATAAAATTAATAAAATGTGGGACTCTTAAAGTAATATTGGACAGATTCTGGTATTTTTCCAACCCAAATGAATATTCTTTATTTTTGTGCAACAGCAAACTAAGTAATAGTCTACTATGTTTTAATTAAACTTCCAGGTAGAAACATGTGTTAAAAGTCCAAATTTAATTAAGCTGTAGCATTCCATAAAAGCAATACTCATTTGCTAAGCAAATTTTTGATGTATAGATCTCCTGCGTACACTTAATACTGGTTTTCATAAGCACTACTGTGCTTTCACGTTCACTTACTGCACACTCCTGTTTATACATCCCGACCACACCTTTGGTCCTTCAGTACTTTTACTGGCCGCTTTATTTAAGAAATACGCACTGGTTTAATTTCAGGAGACGTTTAAACCTACTGTAATTAAACTGGTGCAACCTATTTTTAAAATGCATTTTAAAAGTGGTTTATTTTGATTCATCATAAACCTGCTTCTAAAGGTATAAACAGACAATCAGGAAAAACTACCCTGAATAAAAATGTAACCTACATTGAGAGGAAACGGATGGTAACAAACCACTTATTAGCAGTTTAGTCTTGTGACTCAAGCAAGTCGTACAATGGATGACTTAACAGATTGAGCCTGGGAAACGAGAAGAGTTGCGCGCACTGTGAGCCCTTCACTCGTTTCCATCAGCGCATCGTGCAATCGAAGGTGGGTTATTCACTGACGCACCTTTTTCAATTTTGTGGAGAATCCTGAAAATCACAAAATGACAAACGAGTCCCCTTTTCAGGCCACAGAGCAGCAGCTCAAGTACCTCCAAGTTTGCAGACACCCACGCTATCGCAGGCCAGCAGGGACAGATAATGGGCTCCAAGCTGCTTTCTGCTGGCAGCTTGACAGATCCATGGCGATTATCACCTGCGTGCAAGAGCAGATGCAATGAATGGTGAGTGATGGTTATTCACGGGGAAAAATTATTCATCTTGAAGGTCCCACCAAAGAAAGCGCCCTGTCATTAGTCAAAGAAATGATGGGTTAGGACCGCCGTCTTTCTCTTGAACGGTATTTCTGACTGCACGAGGCAAGCATTGACGGGGAAAGGGTGTACAGGAGTGCAACGGCAGAAGTGTTAGTAACAACATAAACTACCTCAGGTTTCCTGTGGGGATGCCGCGGGAACACAGTATGCCAGAGAGCTGCTGTGGTGACGCCAGGAATCTTATTTTTGTTTTACAAGTCTTCTGTTAGCAGTGTCCACATTAGGAAATTGTGTTACTGCAACCATTCCCGTCTAGGTAAAGCAGCAGCTTTGGACACGAATGTCTAAAACTCTAAAGCAGACACAACAGCGCAAACGTGACCGCAGGTACTCTGCGTCCCTCTTCGGACGCCTCACGGCTTCAGCAGCCCTTGAAGCTCCCTCCTTTGAAGGAGTTAGGGCGCGAGGCGGCTGAGCCGCTGCGGCCCACTGCACCCGCG